TCTGCCACTAGTTCAGATCACTTCAGTGCCTCAGAGTGCAGTTCCCAAGGAGGCTTCAAGACAAAGGGCCCCTTACACACCAGACAGGTAAACGAGCACTTTTACTGGTCTATAAGTACTACATACAAGTGCCCGATCAACCAGTATTAAAAGTGCCACTATGCTGTGGGGTTTTTTTTTTTTGTTTCAGTCTAATTTAATTTAGTTATAGTACGGGGGGAACAAAAAAACAAAACAAAACACACCAAAAAATCTTGACCCCTTTATCGTTTACCTGGGGCTTAAACATGCATTTCTGAAATGCATGTAACTTTGGGTTTTGAAGAACACTGATTGTTAAAGGACTGTTATGCATCCGTGCATGTGCATATACATGTGCATAAAGAAAACTGAAAAAAAAATAAAAAAGGCTTTTTTTTTCTCCCCAGTATTTGATTGTCCAAATGTAAAAGTTATTGAAGAAGAAAAACTGTTTCCTTACATGCCAAACTTCAGTCAGAAAATTTGACTGTTCAAGATTGAAGGGATATGTACATTGAGTTTCAAATTTTGAAGTGAGTTGGCTTGAGTTTCTTTTACAGTTCAAGCTGATTTGGAACATTGCTAAGCTAGTGCTACTAAAGGGGTTATTTTTTTTTCCCTAACAAAGACAGCCGAATTTCCAAGCTACTTCATTGCGAAGCACGTGGTTTGTTGGTTAGGATGTAACTAAGCCATACGGAAGTCTTCCTCTGTTTTGAGTTCAAAATTATTTTGCTGTAATAGGTTAAAGTTGGTATCACATAGGCAGTTTGTTGCATATTTTTAAAAAATGTCCAAAGCATACTTTTGAAAGGGGTGCATTCTCTGAATACATCTGAATTATGCAGGAAAAAAAAAATCAGCCCATTGTAAATATTTTCTCACCTTAGTAACGCATAAGTGATCTGTCATAACTCATTTTAAACTGTGAAATACGCCATATGAAGAGGGATTAGGAGGCTGAGAAACTCATATTTCAACCAAATCCAGCATTAGGTTTTTCTTAGGTCTAATAATTCCTCGCTAATAAAGATTCAAATGCGGCGCTGTCTAATTTATTTTTCCGGCG